ATGACTAGCTCTTATACAATTTGTTACAAACCAAGCCCACCTCTTTCCGATATTGTCTACTTTTGCTAGTTACGTATCATCATCAGACTCACAATTTTAAAATATGTCTACTAGAAGAGATATCCACAACCTTATAGGAAATGTTAGGTTCTCCTTTCCAATTGCTAGCAAATATTGTTTGTTTTGGCCTATTATGTATCGTCGTAAGTTTAAAAGTTTTAAAACGCGTCTTTTAGGGAGAGGTTTTCACACTCCAACCAATATTAGGTCTCAAAATAAATAGTTAGGATGGTTGAGTGGTCGAAGGTGTTAGGAGTCAAGTTTTGATCCTTGTGAGAGTGCGTGGGTTGAAATCCCACTTTAGACAACTTAGAAAGGCTTTCTTTTATAAAGTGCTATCTTTTATTAAATTGATTCAACAATTCTATTCAAAAGATGTTTTCCACTACCTTAACGAATGAATTCATTCATATTAGCAGAACCTCTGACCTTGTTGTTAAAGCCCACTTCATTCATATTAGCAGAACCTCTGACCTTGTTGTTAAAGCCCACACGCTCTAACCAATTGAGCTATTCTAGCTAATCATTTGTAAGCCCAAACCTTGTTGTTAATGCCCACACGCTCTAACCAATTGAGCTATTATAGCTAATCATTTATAATAGCTCAAGCCCATCATCAGTAAATATATTAAGCTTTGGCTCTTTACGTATTACTGTCAACTTCAAGGTTTTAAAACGCCTCTATTAGGGAGTGGTTTCGACATCCTTATGAGGGATGTTTCTTCCCCTCTCCAACCTATGTTCAATCTCACAATCCATCCACTAACAAATATTGTCCGATTTTGTCCATTACGTATCACCATCAACCAAACAATTCTAAAACGAGTCTACTAGGGAGAGGTTTCCACATCCTTATAAGGAATGTTTCGTTCCCTTTTCCAACTGCTAAAAAATATTGTCCATTTTTTCCCGTATATCACCGTCAGAATCTTTTTAAATCACGCCTACTGGAGAGATGTTTAAAGACTTAAAAGTTATACTTCATTCCCCTCTCCAACGAATGCAGGATTAAAGGGTGTGCGTTCAAATCCCACTTCTGACAACTCAAATAAAGGTAAAATAAAAATACAATCTTATCATTATTGAAATCAATTGAACTCGCTAGAGATTTAAAATGGCCACGACGTGATTTTCCAAGCTTCTACAAAAGTTAGTATTGTTCAAGTTTACCCTTACGCCTGAATCTCAAGGACACTTTGATTTTCTGTATTACCTGAGTGCATAGCAAATGATGAGTTGTGAGCCTCTGTCAATATCTCGTTCCTTAATTTCCCCACTGATGGAATACATGGTGAGCCTCTGTCAATATCTCGTTCCTTAATTCCCCCACTGCTAGAATACATAGGCTCCTTAATTCCTCAAATACTGGAATACACTGGCGTCCTTGACATAAACATCCATCATCTTAGGATTTAGAGAAACTGTCCACTAGGCCCTCTGTTAACTGACTCATAATTACCTATATTAAAAAAAATCAGCTCCAGAACGGTAAAAAACGTGAAGGTTGGTGTAAAAAATGTCAAATCGAGCCAAATATGTCATTTTTTAGCCTAGAATTCAGAGAAGCTGAGCTGAAGGGGCCGGTGTATGCAGTAGTGACCCTGTCGTTGAGGGACATTGACACATAAGCAGGTCGTGAAGTGGGTCGAGGCACGGGTCTTGAATGTTCATGCCCCTCTGCCATAATTGTAACATTTGTCGGAGTTACCATCGTTCACATAGTGATCATATTTGTGACATTTGTAGCACTGAATGTTGGAGTAAATTGATCGGCCCCCTCTTCCTCGACTGCGTCCTCTTCCACGCCAATTTTCTTGGCTCCACTATCCCTTCTTCTTATAGTATCCTTCATGACTGTTGCCTTGACCACCATGACCATTTTTACTACTTTCATTGCCACAACCTCTACCTTCAAAATTTTGAGAGTAGAGTACCTTTTCATCTTTGATTGACGCCTTGGTTTGGAGTTCTTGATCGAGTGTTTCCTCCTTCTTCTTACGTTGTTCGTGTGCCTCGAGAGAACCGGCTAGCTCGTCGACTGTGAACGTCGCTAGGTCATTTGACTCTTCTATCGCGCATACAACATTCTCAAAGTTGTTAGTTAATGACCTTAAAATCTTCTCCAAAACCCGCATGTTGGCTAATATTTCTCCATGCCGGTTGAGTTGGTTTACCACAGTATGTACATGCATGATGTAGTCAGATACAATTTCTGACTCCTTCATCTTCATGGTCTGCTCTCCAACTTGCCACGAAGAGTTTGGAGACACACTTGCTTGACTCGGTCGATTACTTTGAACACTTTTCCTAAAGTGTCCCACGCTTCTTTTGAAGTAGTTGTATTGGCAAGCTTCTCAAAGGCCGACTCGTCAACGGCTCGGAACAACATGTACAGTGCCCCCTTATCCTTTGATCGCACCTCTTTTAATGTCTTGTTTCGTGTCGCTGTATAACCCATGGTATCTTTTGGTTCTTTTAACCCTTCTTCGACCACCTCCCATGCATCTTGAGAACCGAGAAGAGCTTTCATATGAATGCTCCAATTCTCATATTTTGTCTTCGTTAGTCGTGGTAGCAGGGTTTGACCCGTCACATTCGTCATTGGCTTGATACCAATTTGTTAAAGAAAACTCACAAATTTGTGAAATAAATCTCACACAGACTAACGATAGAAGAAGACAAAGAACACTTTATTTCTATCTCTTTTTCTTTTTTTTTTTTTAATTTTTTTTTCTCTACTCTGCTTTACTGTTTTACCCCAGAAATAACAAATGTATTTACAAGGTCTCCTAAAACTAAATATAGACATCAGAATGCGACTGTATTTACTATACGAATGTATTTATAAGGTCTTCTAAAACTAAATATAGACATCAGACTCCCGCCACTACTAATGTATTTATAAGGTCTTCTAAAACTAAATATAGACATCAACATTTTCGTAACCTAGACATTAGAATGCCGCCCCTACAAAATGTATTTATAAGGTCTTCTAAAACTAAATATAGATATCAGAATGCAACTGTTTCCTGACCCAGGCATTCTGATATAGACATTAGTGTTTCCTAACCTAGACATCAGAATGCGCCACTACAAATTATTTAGAAGGTCTTCTAAAACTAAATATAGACATCAGAATGCCACTATTTACGTCACTGTTCCTAGACATCAGAATGCCACTGTTTCCTAACCCATAAAACGTCATTGTTCCTAGACATCAGAATGCCACGATTTCCTAACCCATAAAACCATCAGAATGCCACTATTTACGTCATTGTTCCTAGACATTAGAATGCCACTGTTTCCTAACCCATAAAACGTCACTGTTCCTAGACATCAGAATGCCACTTTTTCCTAACCCATAAAACATCACTATTCCTAGACATCAAAATGTCACTGTTTCCTAACCCATAAAACGTCACTATTCCTAGACATCAGAATGCCACTCTTTCCTAACTCATAAAACGTCACAGTTCCTAGACATCAGAATGCCACTTTTTCCTAACCCATAAAACGTCACTGTTCCTAGACATCAGAATGCCACTGTTTCCTAACCCATAAAACGTCACTGTTCCTAGACATCAGAATGCCACTGTTTCCTAACCCATAAAACGTCACTGTTCCTAGACATCAGAATGCCACTGTTTCCTAACCCATAAAACGTCACTGTTCCTACACATCAGAATGCCACTCTTTCCTAACCCATAAAACGTCACTGTTCCTACACATCAGAATGCCACTCTTTCCTAACCCATAAAACGTCACTGTTCCTAGACATCATAATGCAACTGTTTCCTAGCCCATAAAACGTCACAGTTCCTAGACATCAGAATGCCACTCTTTCCTAACCCATAAAACGTCACTGTTCCTAGACATCATTATGCAACTGTTTCCTAACCCATAAAACGTCACTGTTCGTAGACATCAGAATGCCACTCTTTCCTAACCCATAAAACATCACAGTTCCTAGACATCAGAATGCAACTGTTTCCTAACCCATAAAACGTCACAGTTCCTAGACATCAGAATGCCACTTTTTCCTAACCGATAAAACGTCACTGTTCCTAGACATCAGAATGCCACTCTTTCCTAACCGATAAAACGTCACTGTTCCTAGACATCAGAATGCCACTCTTTCCTAACCCTTAAAACGTTACTGTTCCTAGACATCAGAATGTCACTGTTTCCTAACCCTTAAAACGTTACTGTTCCTAGACATCAGAATGTCACTGTTTCCTAACCCATAAAACGTCACTGTTCCTAAACATCAGAATGGCACTGTTTCCTAACCCATAAAACGTCATAGTTCCTACACATCAGAATGCCACTCTTTTCTAACCCATAAAACGTCACTGTTCCTAGACATCAGAATGCAACTGTTTCCTAACCCATAAAACGTCACTGTTCCTAGACATCAGAATGCAACTGTTTCCTAACCCATAAAACGTCACTGTTCCTAGACATCAGAATGCAACTGTTTCCTAACCCATAAAACGTCACTGTTCCTAGACATCAGAATGCAACTGTTTCCTAACCCATAAAACTTCACAGCTTGTATTATTTTCTCGTATGTTTTTCCTTGGCGACATTGTCTTCTTTTTATAAAAATAGAGTAAACATAAATAATTTGATTTTTTTTTTTACTTCGGTAATGTTACCTAGAATATTCAAATAAACTTTTAAAAAATATGGATGGGAAAAACTTATTAAATAAGTATCTTTTTAACGTTAAATTTGTTTCAAAATAACCTTTATGTGAAATCTATTATAGTAGGATAGGAATGAGTGAAGAAGAATGGTTGAATAATTGTACAAATGATCTAATAATTTAATTAATTTTATTGCGTTGAAACCCTATCAAATATAGAACTAAAAACAAAGACAATATTATTCGTTTTAAAGTTCATATATTAATGACACACAAATCTTTACAAATTTGTGGTCCCATAGTCTAGTGGTTAGGACATTGGACTTTGAATCCAATAACTTGAGTTCAAATTTCGGTGGGACTTTTTTTTTTTTAAAGATGTTTGTGCACAAATAGTAAGAGGAAGCTTTGAGGTTGTACGAGGCAAAGTGGTCAATGATTGGATACTTCGGTGGGACCTTTTTTTTTTAAAGATGTTTATGCACAAATAGTAAGAGGAAGCTTTGAGGTTGTACGAGGCAAAGTGGTCAATGATTGGATACTTTAGCAAGATTTGGAGTCTGTGTGACTTAAAAGATAAAGTAATACATATAGACTAATCAAGTCATGATCTAGTTAAAGGAAGAAACTAAATCACCTGTAAGAAATTAGGAAGGTTTGAATTCATGTTGAATGTTTCTAGTTAAAGGAAGAAACTAAATCACCTGTAAGAAATTAGGAAGGTTTGAATTCATGTTGAATGTTGTATCTAAGTTATTCCAACATTAATACCAACACGAGATCTGAGTTAGAATGATGTTGTTGGGCTCACTAATTTCCCATAGCTTAAGTAATTTTTATGAATCAGATATTGAACAAGGTTTCTAGACTTGTTTTATAATAGTGTTCATATCGATTAGGAGGCTAATCAGAGACAAAAAAGATAACAAGATGAGCCCTTAAGCCAACTTGATACCTCTATTCAAAGAGGGTGGATTGTGAGATCCCACAACAGTTGAAGAGGGAAACATTGTTTATAAGGGTGTGAAAATTTCTCTATCCGTTTTAAAAGTGTAAGGTAATCTCGAGAATCAAAAGAAGATAATACCTGCATGGGCCAATTTCATTAATTCTCAATAATGATATATTTAATGATACTAGAAGATAATCACTTATAGTTTTAAGTTTATTAGGCATAAAATTATGTAAGCGAAACTCGATTGACTGAATGAGGAGCTACCGATCTACAATGTGCATAAAGCCTATGGCCTATTAGCTTAGTTGGTTAGAACGTCATGCTAATAATGTGAAGGTCATTGGTTTGACACTTGCATGGGCCAATTCATTTCTTCTTAATAATATCTTTTCATGATACGGGGTTACAACATTACGAACTTTAAAGATAATGACTTAAAGTTTTAAGTTTATTATGCATAAAATTATGTAACCTAAACTCGATTGACTAAATTAGGAACTATTGATCTACAATGTGCATAAAACCTATGGTCTATTACCTTAGTTGGTTAGAGCATCGTGCTAATAACGCGAAGGTAGTAGGTTCGACACCTGCATGGGCCAATTTCATTTTTAATAATATCTTTCTGCATGGGCCAATTTCATTTTTAATAATATCTTTCTGCATGGGCCAATTTCATTAATTTTTACTAATATCTTTCTGCATGGGCCAATTTCATTAATTTTTAATAATATCTTTTCATGATACGAGTTAAAACACTGTGAACTTTTTTTAAAAGTTTATTATGCATAAAGTTATGTAAACGAAACTCGATTGACTTATTTAGGAGCCAACGATCTATAATGTGCATAAAACCTATGCCCTATTAGCTCAGTTGGTTAATTGTTGTGTTAATAATGTGAAGGTTGTAGGTTTGACACTCACATAGGCCAAATTTCATTAATTCATAATAATATCTTTTCATGATATGGGGTTACAACACTACGAACTTTAAAGATAATGACTTGAAGTCTTAATTTTATTATGCATAAAATTATGTAACCTAAACTCGATTGACTAAATTAGGAGCTATTGATCTACAATGTGCATAAAACCTATGGCCTATTAGCTCAGTTGGTTAGAGCGTCGTGCTAATAACGCGAAGGTCGCAGGTTCGACACCTGCATGGGCCAATTTCATTAATTTTTAATGATATCTTTTCATTATACGAGTTAAAAAGACGGATCTGAGCTGATATTTTCTCCTACGAACGATGACATTGGTGGATTTCTGAGAGTCCTTTCAGAACAAGACGGATCTGAGCCGTTCCATATGTTCTTCTATGAAGGATGATATTTGTAGATGTCTGAGAGTCATTCAGGATCTGAAGGATCTGAGCCGTTCGATATGAAGGAGGTAAATGAATTGACTTTGAAGGCAAAATTCATCAATGCAAAGGTCAGTAGAGAAAATTTTCCGGCAAGCCATATGTCGACTTGCGGGAGGGAAAGCGCGTCAGACAGCCTAAGGGACACGTATTGACGATTAGGTGGAATAATGCGTCAGGCACATTGTAAAGTGACGCGTCTCCACTCGATATGCGACACGCAGTAGCTCTTCCGACCCACGCCCACGTCTAACCTAGTTTGACTCGAAGGATGTTTGACCCGATCCGCATGGTGCCACGCTTCAATGTAAAGAATTTCACTTCCTAGCGCGCACCTCCGGTTTTGAACCCACGACTCATCAGCAACTGACCTCTCTTTCTTCACAACTTCTTCAATTCTCTTCACAAGCTCATAAATTACCTTCCCATTCTCTTCCTTCTCCTATTTCAGACAGAAAGAACTCTCACTCAGCTCCACCACTTCCTCCTCTAACCTTTCAATCTCCATTTCTAAAAGCTTTCTTTTCTTTTCCAATCTCTACTTTGTCCTTCAAAAGGCGCTCGTTTAGCGATTTCAACTTCTGCAACTGAGACTTCTCCACAGATTTATCCACAGCAGACTTTGGTTGTTGCTCTAAATCTCTATCCTCCTTCTGATGATCTGGAAGTTTCATTGGCTCGTTCGCCGATCGCGTGTTCAATCCAGATTCCTTCTTC